CAATTTGCAAGAATCATCGGGACAATTTTTGGAAATGGTTGTCTTAGGATTCCACCATCTGTAAACAAATGTAGAACGCTCTGGGAGTCGCCCAGTTTAAAAGACCAAGTAACGTTTTGTAAATTTGTTTATTTAATTATGCAATAACTATCAAATTTACGGTGATCGGGTTTGTCATATTGTTTTGTTATCAAAAGAAGTCACCAAATACGGATTTTCAAAAAGATCGGATGAATTTTACATAGTAATAACCAATTGATCATCTTCGGGATTGCTTTTTTATATTTTTCCATAAAAAAACAATAACATTTGAAAATGAACGTTTCATACCCATTGTATCTTATAGAAAATTCAATTCTAAACCAATTCATTTCTCTTCATTTTTTCCCTTAGAGGAATAGTTAACGAGATAATTGAAGTCAAATGCGAAAAGAAACGACATCTTGCCATTTTTTCATCGTTTTTTGTTTATACATAACAATATATTCCGGGAGTTTTCGGCTAGGGGGACTATGGTTTTCGGATTCAGGGGATCTTTTTACATAGAAGACACTTGATTTCGTTGAGTGAAATGCGACAACACCCAGCTCAATCTGCCCAAACTGTAATTTGACTGCACTAAGTACTTATGAATATTGACACAACAAATGCAATCGCGTGGCATTTGACGTCATTTTCATTCGTCCAATAGTGAAGCGTTTCGCAAATTTGAATTTCGTTCGCTTATTTTGCACTTTTGAATTACCATTTTTAGCAATTAAAAACAAACTAAATAAGAAACTAATGGTTTAAGTATAATGTCAGGACAATAAATATTTGCTGGAGAAAGAATCAAGTAAATTTAAACCACATGCATATTCCCTATTATTAAAAATGCACAGACTAGGTATAGCTTTTGTAAACAAACAAATTGGATTTACTAAAATAAAAAAGGTTTTCGCATTTTCAAAGCTGTGAAATTTGGTACGATTTCTGAACACCCACTTTACTCAAGCAAATATTGAAAGTACTGGGTCTATACCTTGTGCTTGCAAAGCGTAATTCATTTTAAGTATGAGCCAGTTTTGACAAAATCCAAATAATTCAAACACCATTCGACTTTTAAACAAATTATATTCGTATTTTGTCTTCGAAATCTGGTAAAAAGCTAGTTTGTTATTATTCTGCAAGTGATTTGTGATATTTACAATTGTAACCCAGGACCAAGCTTTTAAAACTGTACCTGCTCGTTAAAACATAGTATTGATATCTACCAATAATAGTATCTCCCGTGAAAGACTAGCGGAGAAATACACCTCTCCGCGGCAACTTCTGAAATCGCAGTTCGGCATCCTCGCCCCTTGAGCAAGGGCTTACTGTATCGTATAACATTCCGAACACGAGCTTAAGAAACCACGCTAGTGCTAGCTAAGGAATGAGAACACCCCAGCTTCCTTGGACGCTGAGCCGAGGAGAGCTTCTCGCCCCACCGCAGTGGGTGCATCGAGTCCCCCAATCATCTGATTCGTACAAATCCCTCTTACACATTTGGCAGTACCGAATCGAGGCACCAACACCCACAAAAGACAAATATGACGACAAAGTATTTGTACCCCGAGGAAGCATCGGCAGATCGCCACCTAAGGAGAGAGATGAGGCAGCCCGTGTAAGAAACCAGCTACGCCGGAAATGAAAACCACCGATACGGCGCCTTAACCACCTCCGAAATCGAAAAGAATATCTTCACAAAAGCACAACCCACCCAAACGAGACCAAGAGACCGACGACCAGGTGCCTCTGTACCTGATGGAGTCGATGTCCAAGAGTCCGAAAGAGCTGCTGGCACAAGCTAGTACTTGCCTTATGCCTAGACCGAATTGCGAAAGCCTCTTCCAAAGAGCCCAACTCAGTTTTACTACACAAGATCAAGCTACTATCAGAAAGCAAGTTGATGATATCGACAAGATCATGATATCTCTTACAACAATGGTGTGAGAGTCGAATCAGGTAAATTATAAACAGGCTATCCAGGCGATGTGCCAAAGTCCCCAAGCAACGTTTGCAAAGAAACCAGCGGCAAGTCATGGCACACACTCTCTCTGAGTATACAATCTGCGGGGAGTGCCCAGATCAAGATCCAAAAACGCCCGAATCCACGCCAAAGGTGGGACTCAGCTTTGCTGATCGACAAGACTCCTAAACCAACAGTTTGGAAAGATATTTTTATCACAAGGGTAGAAGTTGAAGAGGCGAAGGATACCAACGCAGCATTAAAGCGGCTAAGGGAACACGTAAGCGCAAAATAGGTGGGTGGTGCGTACGACCTTTTTAACGCTGTCATGTGACTCATCCTCATGGAAAGCTGGCCGAGTACGATGAGTGAAGTGAGCTCCGAACAATGCGAAACAACCATTATCTCTTTCGCAGCCGACCAAGTTTTAACCGTAGCAGGACCGTCTGTTAAAGCTTTCCAAAATACGTGGCGAGGGATGTGGACAGGGTGTCTCAAGTGGGCGGCGAGGCACAAAGCGGAGTACAATTCTGCTAAATCTGAAATCCTATTCTGCAGTGCAAGTAAAGTAACATCACTAGAACACCTGAACTGCAAATGACTGATACGAAGACAAACGCACAAGCCACAATCAAATACGTTTGGTTTAGGATGGACTCTAAATTGATTTTCCTGGAACACATAAAGGAAGTGAGAGGAAGATGGATAAAATATCTACCAAATTAAATTACATTGGTTGACAAACATAGACAAAGGTATATAGAAGAAGTTCATTAGAACCCTTTACCTACAGGCTCTGCGACCAGCCGTACTGTATGAGGTCGAGGTGTGGGGTCGTAAGGCCCACTATTCCAGAGTGAGAAACCAGTTGAATGCCATACAACGACAATTCCTCCTACGATTAAAAGAGCATACAGAACCACACCAATTAGTATTAGTAGTCGTTTTTTGTTATACGTACGTGGTATAGTGCCGGTAATAGTTTGAGGAGCGTAAGATTACATTATTATTACATTATATTATGTGTTGATCACTTTAAATCAATGCTTTTTTAAATGCCATCCACTTAAGACACCCTAAACAAACCTCAATTTTAACGAAAGATGTGAAACTAAATGTTTAAATTTTTGTGGAAGAGAATCCCATAAGAAACTTAAGGGAAATGGTCGAATTTAATATCTCTTCATCATAACTTAAACGCATGTCGTTTCTAGAATTAGAGCAAAATGCGTTCGCATGTTATTTCGGTTGCATAAAATTAGGCGTCTTTTATAAAGAATTTTTGTCGTTTAAAAGTAGACATAGGAAATCCCTATGTCTACTTCTAAATGAATAGCACTGTATATGCAGCCATCTTATAATTATTATTTCCGGAAATCGGTGTCGCTCTATTATTCGGGATTTTCATTGGATTCGGTTTTCTTCTTCTATAGGGCTACGTGATTAAAACTGCCATTTAAGCAATAGATTATCCCCATATCGTGGGATTTGGAAAATTTGCATTACATTCAGCTAGCGATAGTATTCATTTCGGGAGGTACCGCCAATCAGATTTGCTCTTAACAAAAACTGGTTTACTTGATCACTAGCAGCCATCTTGGAAAAGGCGTTCATTCACTAGTAAGGGGTTATTCCAGAAGATTTGAAAGTAGTTCGCGTTGGAGCCACCGATGCGAGTAGTGCTGGGTCCATAGTAAAATTTGGTATTCATTCGGGTCTGGGTTACCAGAGCAAGCAGTGTTTAGAAAAAAAGTAAATTTGTTTGAGAGATTTTCAGCGGGAAATTAATCCGAGAAAATTTTGGAAATGAATCCTTTGATCGCGCGAGTATTCATTCGCAGTTCCAAAGAAAAAGTTAAAAAATTATTCGCTTTTGGATAACGGGTTTGTTAACGTGCAGTAAAAAATACTATTGCACATCCGAAAACTTTACCAGTTGGATAAATTAATATACAGAAGAGAGTACTTGAATGTGTCAGTTTGTTATACTACAAGAATTGATTATTGTGCCATCGGATGAAATGAAGACTACCGTGAAATACGATCGTTTTAGTGGCATAAATTAAACGACCGCATTTCTACCAAGGACAAATTAATTAAGCGCGCCGGTATATTTTAGTTCGCATAGAGAGCTATTGTTTAAAAATTCAGTGTAGTTATTGATTGCTAGTGAAACCAAAAAGGGGACTAACCTGTATAGTTCGCATTCGTAATACTAAAATTGTTCTAAACATCTGTATCCGATCAACATTTATGAAAAAATAATGTGTACAATTTGGATACCGGGAAAATCCTTCTATTTGGTGATGGAAAAGCTTCAAAATAAATTTATAAAAACCCATTAATAACAAAAACTTTAATATTAATAACAGCCTAGCAAGCTTGCTTATAATTTAATCACAGAAGGTCACCGCTCGAAAAGATTACGTCCAAAGAACAATTGATTCGCCTAAGAATTCAAGCAGTGTTATTGTCTGACGGGAATGTAGGGCTCCATTATTTGATTTTTCCGAAATATTGTCGATGTATAAGGACCGCCCGTTCTTGTTCATGTAATTCACAAAGACCGTGGCCACGAAATTGATCTAGTTACCTAAATATTCTGAAATTTATGGTGAAAGTTAGAAATAGGAAATCCTGTAAAGGTAAATGTAAATTTGAACCATTTTTTCTTCTTTAATATATTCAAAACTGTGTGATCAGTGATCACTTTACTCATTATGATCACTTTGAAAGTCATAATTTTATTTCCGACAAGGCCTACTCGGGAAAAATGAGCAAAATCTGTCCAATTTGGTGGAAGTGCCAACCTTCGAATCATCAGTCTTTTAGACTTAGATGTATGTACAGTTCAATAGAACCTTAATTCTTGCTGGTAAGGCTTATCAAGTCTTTATTGTAACTTTGAGGATTATTGCAATTAATTGTTCAGTCATGATTTAAACTAAGTCGATGGTTAACAATTGTTACTACAACCGTCATTGTCCATAATTGCATCAAGTTTCATGACTTAAGTTACCAATCATCAAGATTTATTAATTCAGTCTAATTAATACAGTATACATTTACTTATTTCGTACAAAGAACTTCTACTGTTCTACTGTTAAGGTTACAACAAAACATGTGTTCAAACGATTTTTAATTATTTTACATGCCTAACACAAATTAAAAACAATATCACAAAAATAATTACTATGATTATTGCATTCAGTATCACGATTTCTTGTTTAAAGTTGTTAAATAGTCGAACTAAATCGGAATATCGCCTTTGATGAGCCTCTTCAAAATCTCTTAGTAATTGACTGAAAACGGTGCTGTCGCTGAAGTTATTGCCATTGTGTACATCTTTGTCGGGTTTAAATGGGCGGAAATTAGCATTTTGATTCGATGAAGAGCTTACTATCGTATCCGTGCTAAAGTCTCGCATCGCCTTGGTTTTGGAAGCTTTTCGATCACAGCGCACGTTGACGTAAAAATCATCTGTTGAGTCTCGCGCCATTTCTCGCAACAGGGTGCAATTCCACAAATTCCCATGGAACTTAAAATTTATAGTATAGTGGTGGGAATAGGTTATAATTTCGCATGGATCTATGCACGTCAATTGGTTACTGTGAAGGTCTAAAAATACCAAATTCTTCTGCGTGGCAAATGTCGATTCTTCTAATTCCGTCAGATGGTTGTGTGATAAGTCGATATCTGCCAAATTGGTTAAATTGTAAAAAATCGACTCGTCTAAGCTTTTGATGTCGTTAGAAGAAAGGCCCAAGAGAACGAGTTCTTCTAGATCACGGAAAGAAGTTGGCGATAGTTTATGTATGCGATTCTTTCTTAAGTAGAGAGAATTCAGAGAAGAAAGACCCTTAAAGTCACTAATTTCCTCAATTGCGTTATCAGTTAAATTCAGCAACTGCAAGCTGCTGAGGCCCTCAAAGCATCCATTAGTTATATTGCTTAAAAAGTTGTTTTGCAGATGTAGGAGTGTAAGTTGGGGCAAATTTTGAAATAGTTTCGGTTGTAAATCATCAATCAAATTTGTAGAAAGATCTAAACCGACTAGCTTTGTGCATCCACTAAATGCACTTTCTGATAACTTTGCAATGGAGTTATTCGATAAATCTAACATTACTAACGACCCAAGGTTTTGAAATGCATCAGAGGATACATTTGAAATACCGTTGCTTTGCAAATATAAATTGGTAAGGCTCGTTAGACCTGCAATTGTTTCGGTTTTTATTGTTGTAATTAGATTATTGGAAAGGTCGAGATGCTTTAAGGATTGCAAGCTGGTGAAGCTACCTTTATCCATGCGTTGTATTCTGTTGCTTTGCATATGGAGCTCGATCAAATTTGACAAACCAAGGAAGTCGATTTCCTGAATCGATGTGAGTAAATTGTTTGACAGATTCAAATTTGCTAATCCGCTAGAGGACTTAGTTAAATTAGTCCCGTACGTATTAGAAAAAATTCCCTGACCAAGGCTTGTGAGATGATTCTCTGAAATGTCAAGCTTGGTCAGTGAAGAAAGCGTTTTAAAGGGCACATCTGCAAGAGAGGGTAGCTCGTTATTTCTCAAAATTAAATTTTTTAATTTCTTGGTCCCCACAAAAGTTTGCTCACTGAGATGAATAATTCGGTTATTTGCCAGGTTCAGGCTGATTACGCTCGACAGTCCGTTGAAATCCCCATCAGTAATTTGACTTAAATTGTTGTACTCCAAATTTAATTCTGTTACAAGCGGCAAAAACATGAACGAATCTTTACCTAAATCTGGCAATCTGTTGTGCGACAAATCTAATCTAAAAAGTGCCCGAAGCGCTCGAAATGTTCTCGGCCGTATTTCGTAAATGTGATTGTTTTGTAAGTGCAAATGATTAACTTTAATTAATCCCGAAAAATGTGTATCTTTCAATCGCACCAGTTCATTTTCAGATAGATCTAATACTAGTAGAGATTCTAAATCTTTAAAACAGGAAGCTGATAAATTCTTTATTTTGTTTTTGGCTAAATGCAATTGTGACAATTTAGAAAGACCTGTAAAATCAGTTTGCTTAACTTGAGTTAGTGAATTGTTTGACAGGTACAACTGTTCTAAGGCACTAACATGAGTAAAGCTGCCGGGAATAATGTCAGTAATGCTATTCGATTGCAATTTCAAAACCCGAAGTTTACTCATACCATTAAAAAAATCACCCTTAAGCTCCGCCAAATAATTGTTCTCCAAATTTAGCTCAATTAGGTTTTCGGCTAAATGTATGCTTTGAATTGGTGCACCACTATTGAATGGCTGAAAAATTGAAAATATTTCAGTGATTGTGACGACTACGCGAATATGATTCCCTTGTAAATTAAGGTAAAACACGTTCTTCATAGAGGGCCAACTAGTGACCGTTACTATTTCGTTACTAGCCAAATCCAGTACTTGCAAACTCGATGGAAAAATTGACAAATCGATTTTGGTTATTTTATTAAATGCGAGATTTAGGTTCAAGAGCGAGTTGTTCAGTTTTGAGAACATTTCCGAAGAAATGACTTCAAACGAATTTCCCAGCAGGTTAAGGGATTTTAAGTTCGGTACAAAAGTGAACGTTCTCGGATCCAAAGTATTGAGCTTGTTCCTATCCAATAATAACAATCTCAAATCGATTAAACCCAAAAATGCATCCCCTTCCACAGTTTCAATTTCGTTCTCCGAAAGCTGCAACAACTTCAACGACTCCAAGCCGAAGAAGGTATTATTCTCAAGTGTGGTTAAGCTATTCTGCTCCAAATATAATTCTTCCAGTACAGTTAAATTGGAGAAAGCATCAAACATGATTTGGTTTAGACCGCTGTTATTTATGTATAGCTGTTGTAGATTTGGAAACTTTGAAAAAACGTTTCGGGGTAATATATTGAGGTTACTATTTTCAAAAATGATCGATTTTATCGCTAATTTGTTGATTGAGGTTGTATCCAATACGTCTCCAGTTTTGAACTCTACACTTTCGCATATGAAATTTCGGTCCACTTGGTTGCAATCCTGACTTATGACTTCATGTCCAAGGAGTAAGATGATGATGGCAACGAAGTTTTCTTTCTGAAAAACAATAAGTATCGTTAATAGAAAATGCGCTTTTTTCATCTTTAAACTAAGGAGCATGTGGGGAAAAAGTGTTGAAGGTAATTGCTGTGATTATCCCTAGGGGGAAACAAGTACCATTTTTGGTGTACACCAAAAATTCAAATTTAAATTAATTCGTGTTAATTCATAATAATTCACGTAAATTCATGTTAATTCACGTTTATTCGAGTTAATTCCTGTAAATTCAAATTAATTCACGTTAATTCTAAATAATTCACGTTAATTCTAAATAATTCACGTTAATTCTAAATAATTCATGTTAATTCAAATTACTTTACGTTAATTCAAATTGAATCACGTTAATTGACATTAATTCTCGTTAATTCTAATTAATCCACGTTGATTCTAATTAATTCAAGTTAGTTCAAACTTCAAATTAACACAGGGGGGTGTACACCAAACATTCAAAGTTGTTTCCATCTAGAATTCTTCCAAGGCAAATTTTTACCAGGACTAGAGTTTACGAGTAAAATATTTCAACGGCGGATTTTTTCTGATGACAAATTTTTTACACACGTATACCAGGTAAAAATTTTCCAAGAGCAATTTTATCAATCTTGAATTTTCAAGACGAGAATTTCCTTAAGGCGAATTTTTCGGAGATGAGATTTTAAGTGCCAAATATTGCAAGGCCTATTTTGTTGGAGGCTAAATTTTCCGTATGCGAATTTTCTGGAAATGAATTTTTCCATGACAAATATTCCCAAGACGAATTTTGAGGGGACAATTTTTGTGGGTCAAACATTAATTCAAGGGCGATTTTTTACGTTTCTGGAGACAAGTTTTCCACGCAAGTTTCTGGGGCGAGTATCCCAGAGCATAAACTTCCGACGCAAATTTTTCTTTTACGATTTTTTGGGGACCAAATATTCGAAAGATGATTTTTTCAACATTTTCTGTAAAATGAATTTCCTTTTCTGGACGAATGTTTTAAGGGCAATTTTGGGAGCCTACATTTTCCGTGGGTAAATTTTTCGGAAGACAATTTTTCCATAGCGAATGTTCCCAGAACAATTTTCTTTGTAGTTTTTGGGAGTCAAATATTCCAAGGACGACTTTATTCGGTAGGCGGATTTTTTAGGAAAGAAGTTTTCCAGGAAGAACCCTCCCGAAAATTGTTGGGGGTGAAATTTTCACGCAAATATTACGGGAGGAAAATTCGTAAGAGGCGAATATTCCCTGTATGAATTTACGGGTTGAATCTTGCACGGAAGCATTTTAAAAAGGCGATTTCTTCATAGCGAATTTGTCTCGTATATTTTTTTCGAGTTTTGGGGGGTCAAATATTCCAGTGGCGATTTTTACGAGTCTTTTTTTTATGAGAGCGGTTTTTCCTAGCGAATTTTCAGGAGATTTCTAAGGGCGATTTTTTTACAGGAATCGCCGATTTTCGAGAAACGAATTATCCATGGCAAATGTTGTGAGGACGAGTGTTTGTGGGTCAAATATTCCAACGGAGATTTTTACGAGCCTTTTTTTATGAGAGCGATTTTTCCTAGCGAATTTTCAGGACATTTCCAAGGGCGATTTTTTACAGGAATCGGCAATTTTCGAGAAACGAATTTTCCAGGGCAAATTTTGTCAGGACGAGTGTTTGTGTGTCAAATATTCCAACGGAGATTTTTTCGAGACTAAATTTTCTGGGGGCAAATTTTTCACGCAAGTATTCCAGGGAAAAGTTTTCCAACAATGATTTTATCGTGTTTACATTTTCAGGACAAGAATTTTTCAATAGCGAATTGTTCCAGGGCGAGACGTGTCAAATATTCCAAGGGCGATTTTTTGGAGGCTAAATTTCCAAGACAAAAATTGTTTATACAATTATTCCAGGAAAGAATTTTTCAATGCGCATATCCTCAAGGCGACTTTTTCAAGCCTACATTTTCCGGAAGCGAATTTTTCCATAGGGAATTTTCCCAGAAGACATTTTCCGGGAAAAAGTCTGAAGATCAAACACAATAGTGATTTTTTCGAGGCTACACTTTCAGGATGAGAATTTTTCTATAGCGAATATCTCCAGTGAGAAATTTTTCGGGAACAAGCCTTTAAGGATGAAACATATCAAGGGCGATTTTTTAAGCGCAACCAAATTTTCTGAAGTGAATTTTCTGGGGATTTATATGGGCAATTTTTTCAGGAATAAATGATTTTTTAGAAACGAATTTTTCTTAAGGAGAACAAGTACCATTTTTGGTGTAAACGAAACATTCAAATTCAAATTAATTTACGTTAATTCATGTTAATTCACGCTAATTCAAATTAATTCAAATTAATTAACGTTAATTCAAATGAATTCACGATAATTCAAATGAATTCACGATAATTCAAATGAATTCACGATAATTCAAATTAATTCACGATAATTCAAATTAATTCACGTTAATTGTAATTAATTCACGTTAATTCAAATTAATTCAGAGGGGTGTACACCAAAAATTCAAAGTTGTTTCTCCCTAGGATTATCCTTAGTATGTTGACAATGAGAACTAAGCCAAATTTGAGATAAGTGGTCATTGACAAAAGTAATGATCTCCTAATAGGGTAAGCTCTGCAACATTAGCAACCACCATACCTACCTTAATTTGTTGGTTCGCATTTGATTTCCAAGTTGCACAATACATTCAAATGATGGTTATTGTGTATGCTACCTGATTTACATATTCGGCGATCATTACTTTTGTCAATGACTGTACATACAACTGCAAGGGGTTTGGTCGGTCCAGTTACAAGTATGTTGCCGAAATTAGGTAGCACCTGTAAGATTTACATTGCCGCCAATATTACTATAAATGCGCTTACAGTGACGAGTCGCATCCCGAATGTGTAGGGACATTCGTGACACATGTATAAGGGACAAGTAGGTAATTAGGAAATTACTTTGGTTTTGGACAGTAAGTTTATGACAATGATAAAAAAAATAAAATTCAAATTATAGTAATGTCTTTCACAGATACCAGTATGGCTTTCTTTGCGGTTCCCGCTAACTCAAAGTGATTAAAATTCAACATTTCCGTAAGTTTATGATAAGGTATGTTTTTGATCACTGAATTGTGTTGGAAGTTTCATACGCTCTTAAGAAAGTCGGCATTGCACAGTCTGCCGTTGTGCACTTCTGATTTTTACAATATACGATACGCTTATTTTTATTAGAAGCAACTGTGGTTAAAATTTCAAAAGCACATCTCCATAAATAAGAAGGTTGTACATTGAGCAGTTCACGTATGCGCATATTAATCGTCAAGATTTTTCTTGGTTGTGGTGCCAGAGATATAACATATCGAGTGCAAAAAGAACGAACTAAATATCTTGAAAACTGTAGGAGTATTTAAGATGGGCGGACGGACGGAGAAAGTGGCCATAATAGCGCTTTTCATCATGAGTTGGAAAACGCGCCAAAAATTTAAAACATGTGTATACCATTTAAGTGTCCAAGTTATAGAGCTAATGGGGGTATATCATTTTGAGCATTTACTATATGCGAAATGTTTGCCTTTACTAGAAGTAGGTATCTGTGATTTCAATATATTAATAAATACAGTAATCGTCAAAATTTTTCTTGGTTGAGATGACAGCTATAAGCTACCGAATGCAAAAAAAAGCAACTAAATATCTTCAAAACTGTAGGACTCGGGCGCACGGACGGGCGGACAAAGAAAGTTGGAAAATGCGCTTAAAACGCTATTTAATTATGTAAAAATCTCGTTCGCCCTCATTAGTCAAACTGCAAATTCCTGAAAAAAAGTATCACTTTCAAAACTAGTTGTACAAATAACTACACTCATTTTATTTTTATTTTAATTCAATTTGTTGATCAGCTAAAGCTGTGAATACTTATAAGTTATATGGAATATGAATATCGTTTATTTTTGGTTGTACTTCTTATCAGATTTTGTGTATTTTCGGTTTGCAACATTTGCGATTAAACCGAATTTATTTTTACATATTTTAAGATGTATTTAAATTTTTGTTAAAGTCCGTTTCAGATGTCCGTGCAGTAAAGGAATGTGCATATAGCGAAAAATTTTAAAGAGCCGCAACGCAATTTCCTTTTGAGAACCAGTATTTAAAAGCGGACAAATAGGAAAAGTACGTTCCATAGCAATAAGGGTTTGAAAGGATCGCCTAGACAATAGTTAATGAGCTTATAATGGTTTTATTTACACCTTTAAAATGTTCATGGGCGTGCAAATGGGTAAAACAATTGCTCAGGCACATTAAGTACAAATTATTCAGAATGCATTCCAAAAATATATGCAATTAAACCAAGTGTAATTACCATGTATAATCATTAAACATTAAAATGTATATAGATATCATATTAGTAGAATCGTATTAGATCCTAGCTGAAACCCTAAAGTATGTTGAAATGGTGCGCTACTGGAAAATAGCCGCAGGCGCATTCCTTTACTGCACGGACATCTGAAACGGACTATAGATTTAATCGATTTTAATTTGAATTTTTAATACATTTTTGCGAATTTTTATAACGTTTTCGTAAATTTAGTTTGAAAACCGTATCGTATTTAAATCATCGATCTTTTGTCTTTGCCGTTAAGCCACAGGGCCGTAGTCAGAGGCTCCGAGTGAGGGGGGGTGTATGCAATAAAAAATGCCGACTTCAATAAAAATTCAAAATAATACACCGTACAACATTAAACGACGGCATTTTAACGCTGCCCGTTGTGACACTATTTTTTTCCAAATGTATACTGTCTGCTATATCTTTTTCTGTCACCTCTATGTTGAGAGCGCGATCATTCCTATTAAATGAGTAATTTTTTTTTAATATAATTTGTAAAACCACAATGATTCAACTTTTTTTTTTCTCTCATGTTTCATAATTATCTTCATATTTTTATTTTTTTGTTAAATTGTTTTCGTTAAAGTATTACGCACTGTTTTAGCACGTTTGTACCCTTGTAATAGGAAATTATAATCCTTTAGATACAATAAAA